TTCAAAAAACCATACCTGTCACATCATAGTCTCTTTAAGCAAGGGATGTTACACACTACAAACTGGAGGCTAGTGTTAAGTGCATTGCTATTTGTTAATCTTCAAGTTGGACACCGATTCTGACCAAGACCAGCAAATGCTTTTTTTTTTTTTTTTGGCAAGAAACTCACTTGGCTGGTCAGAAGCAAGCAGTGCAAGATTAAGAGATTCAACCAGTTGGAAAAGTGAAGAATTCTCACCACATTCAGAACACATGCATGCATGGCTGATGAACGAACCAATGCAAATGGATTTCAATTATTAAGTCATTGTATGCATTATCTTGATGGCAGTAGTAGGCCAGTAGATGAATTTCTAGATTATATAAAATATACATCAACTGTATCTGACAACCCACGTTTTAGAAGAGTTAAATGCTTGCAAACTGATCCCCAAAGAGATGTCTCTTGCACATCTAATGGAGATACAAATGTCTCTGGAAGACAGTAGGAAGTGAAAACTTTGTTTAGAGGAAAATGTAACTCTAAACTCTCCTATACGCACTGCAGATGCCATCTACTCCAACAATCACCAATGCAAACTGCAGAATTTTGAAAGGACACTTAAAAAGCTACCAATTTACTTGTCACACACTGCAGATGCCATCTACTCCAACAAACACCAATGCAAGCTGCAGAATTTTGAAAGGGCACTTAAAAAGCTACCAATTTACTTGTTTTGATTATACTCTTTTTTTCCAGCAAGAGTCCAAAAAGACTGACTGTCTTGGAAAATAGTGAAGATGCACAGGGACTGAAGTTAAAATTAGTCTAATCTGGGAAAACTCGCTGACTTTTTCATGAACGATAATAGGTTGCTGTTTTAAAATTACTGCACTCATTATTGGCTTCGGAAATTACCTACCAAGATGAGACTTATCTAAATAGTGAGGCTGATGGACTACTTTTGCTACTAAGTTTGGAGAACACAATCACTATTCTCTCTTGTAAGTATATCATTGAAAATACTTGGGGCATTAAACAGTGCAATACAGGCATCTGCTACAACAGTAGTACATCTCTGTCCAGCAATGAAAACTACACTTGGATCAATCAGATATCTATTGAAAATATACTGGAAGAAGCAAAGACTTCAATTCAGAATTTGACTAATTAGGGCATTTCTATTAACTCCTTAAATGATTCTTAGAAATTTCTAACACCAGCTTCCAAATTCTCTCGACCTCTATGTAGCTTTTACAAAATGCCTGTCTTATAAAACACTGACAATTGAGGAGAATGAGGCACCACCTGCAATTGAGCTGCTATGTGATCAGGACAGACTAGAGCATTTGAACACAGAATGGAACAGAATATGATAAACAAATGAAGATTTGAATTTAACGTCTTCATCATCACTAGTAGATCAACCCAATTTTTGTGCTGTGTTTCTTGGGATCAGAAAAGCTGGAATTCATCTATTTCTAGTCCCAGTCATAACAACTATGAAGAGTTGAGTATGCGTTTTCCTCATGCTATAGATTTTTGTGTTCTGAAAATAGTCATCTTCTGTGTGATCATGAGTGTATCTTGAGGGACTGGAAGTACAGGACACACAAGAAGCCACCAAAAACTAATACAGCATTATTAACAGCAGACATCTGAGATTTCAAATGGCTCCGATGCCTCTCCTCCCACCCCCCATATACTTCTGTACCAATGAAAAGGATGGAATAGAACCCAGAGAATCTTGCATGGGAAGGAACACTATCATCCCCATCTATAGATGACAGATATATTTGGATTGGGGTGAGGAGGCTTCTAAGCCCTTTTTAAGAGTGGCCTATATCTTTCTATCCAGAAAGTATTCTTTTGAGGAAAGAACCACTTCCCTAGTGAGTGATGCCACAGTGGCACCCATCTTCAGTAGCTCAGCAACAGTGCCCTTTGGTTCTTAATGTCACAGAGCCCGAGGACACTCTTAGCAGACTCACTGTATTCATCCCTACTTAATTCCTCAAAGAAGGAAGAAAGGAGTAATTGCAACGTCAGGAGAAGATTTTGAGAGGAGAAATTTACACTGACACTCACTCTTAAGAACCTGCTCAGGTTTCAGAGCTAGACAACCCCCTCCCCCCCCCCAAATCAGTGGGTGAGAGGAAAGACAACTCAGAACATGTGACTTTTTTTTCCTGGTTTTTCTTTAGATTTTCATGGTTTATTTTTTCCTGGTTTTTCTTTAGATTTTCATGGTTTTTTTATTCGATCTGTTTTGCAGGCTTTGGGAGTGTAGCTTTCATGAGGTCCTATGAAACTTGTCTTCTTTAGGGTCCGAAGCCATCTTGAGAGTTCGGTCTCTGAATCCTCCCACGCTGGGCCCCATTCCCCCTGAGAGCAGAGAACCCAATATCAGACTCTTTCTGGTCAGCTTGGGAGCAAGGGAGGCTGATTAGAAACCCTGTTTCTTTCCCCAGAGTACTCAGGACCCATTTTAAAATTGGGATGGGAAGGCTCACTTTTGAAGGGGTGCCGTGGATCATACTCCAAGTCAAATGGTCAGGGTCCTCCTTGCTTCTGGAGTCTATTTCAGTTCTGTACTGGTGTGCCTGGTCCATTTTTCCCCTGCTGGAGTGGCAACTGCTTTAGTGAGGAGGGGACCACAACCTCCTGGCCTTGTAGTTGTACTTGTAGTTCTAAGACTTATCAGAGTTGGGGGAAAATGGCAGAACAACTCACTGTCTTCTGAGCCTAAGAATGCTGCCTTATATATAGAAAACCACGTGGTGCTTTCTTGACTGCTCTGCCAAACCTTTAAAGGGCAGAAGAGCTGGCAGGAAGATGCTGTAGTGGAGGCTCAGGGAAAGTTAAACCCTTGAGGAGTTAACCAATCTGGAGAGGAGGAATAATAAGAACACTACTCCCTACTGCCTAAAATACTGTGAAGAAAAATTAAAAAAAAAGAGTAAGGGTGGGAGCAAAAGAAACCATCGTCTGCTGGTGTGCAGGCAGATAATCTGGCAGCAAGCAGGAGCAGAAGCTATACAGTACCAAAACACAGATCTGCTTCCATGAACTGCAGAGAGAAGAGAAGCCCAGAATTGCCATGGCCAGAAGTGTCATCATGCTGAGCTGCAGAAACAGAAAGGTATCTTCACTGAAACTAACAATCAAGCAAAAGCATTAAACACTCATGTTTTATCATATCACTATATTATTCCAGGTTTACTGTGGAAAAAGGCGTGAAATGTATACACACCATAGCTTTCTATATTATTGTGCAATTTTCACATAAGGCTTTTCAAAATGTGTATTCTCACCCAAAGAGGAGATGGTATTTGCATAGCACATGTTGGGCAAGATTAGAAGTACAGTGAATAAAGACATCAAACTATGAAGCCATATTCTCACATCTGATTTAAAATAAAACACATTCATGAGGAAGATCTTGAGATTCCTGTATCAATCAACATACAGTGAAGCACTAGATTTAAACAGAACATTTAATTTTAAAGCATGGTAGGTAAAGTAATTCACCTTCTCTCAAACTGACCTTGCATGTCATGACTTGCACATTCACAGCTACATGAACTGTTCCATGAGACTGAGGTGAAACTCTACCTCATCTCCTGCAGCTTTATGAAAGCAATTTGTTAAAAACAAATTCATATCTACTGTAACTCCATTGAAGTCAAAGCATTACTCCTGGGGATATACTGCATGTGACCTACTCAAAGTAACTCAAAGAATCGGACTTAGTTTCTCTAGCAGCTAAATTAGTCATTTATTTTATCCTAGTGAACTATGGCAGGTGATTTCATTTTTAAGCATGAATCTCAATCAACACACTGTATTTAATTTTAATGTAAATTTTACATTGCATTTTAATGTCATTTTTACTGATGAAAGACTGCTATCAAACAGTCTTCCCCCAATGTCATTTATATTTACTACAGATAAGAAAAAAGTTACATTAAAGGAAAATTAAAGTTGCCAAGTCAAGCACTCAAATGTTAGGAAATGCACATATTAAGGTTAACTTTCCAGCCTTGATTTATTCCCATTGTGCACATACATGATAGTCCTTAATTTTACAACTACATTTTTTCTGCAGGAACTGTGCCTCAACCCAAACTGAATAAACAGTGCTGTAATTTCTTCTCTTGTCCCGCAACTCAATTCCTGCCCATGTTCTCCCCCTTCCTTTTACTCTTCCCCCATCTCCTGCTCCCTTGTTCCCCCCACATACACACCCAGTTCTTCCCCCTTATAATTTCAAATCAGGCTGTTCTTTCCACTCCACACTGCCAGGATGTAGCAGAAACACAGAAAGCAAAGGCGAGAAGGTGTCTCTACTTAATCCCTCTACCTAAGGCCGAAGTCGTCCCAGGGAGATGCAAATGTAAGGAAAGTCTCGATTAGCACCTGAAGCCCTTGGACGAGGCACACTCAGGTGCTCTGGGGATGGAACATGCACAAACTGGTTACAGACAAAAAGGCATAATGCATGTTCAGTCAGACAATTTTCAGGAAATTTAGAAGATAATTTCTAGCAAGCCTCTACTGAACATTTTTAAATTGAAATTTTTCGGAGACTTATTTTATCCTGGCCAAATCTGGACAATTTTTCACAGGGACTGTACGATGCATGTTGTAGATATGAGGGTGTTTCTTGTTTCAATCCCCCCTTCCATCCTGCCAAATTTAAAGTCCCCTTTCCAAAGTGTGGCAACAACAGAGCTTCTCTACCAGTTGTAAGGCTTTAACACACACAAAACCCACATTTTTGCTAATCTCATTCTCAGAAATAGGTGAAATAGCTTTAAAAAAAGTGAGGTACACACCCAACATGGAAAATGATAGCTTGAATGGTTTAAGTCTGGCAAAATTACAAGCAACTAAAAGAGGGTATTAAAACAAAGTGTCAGGTAACCTTAACAATATGAGTTAACATCTATCTAAATAGATAGATATAAACTACCTCAAATTAAAATGTATTTAACATCAAGTAATTTATTTCCACAGGTGATTTTCTATGTATATCCTTAGTAAATGGATATGTGCAGCTACGCTACAGCCTTGGCGACAAGACGGTCATCTTACAGTCTCTTCAAAACATACATACAAATGGAAGTACATGGCATTTCCTTAAAGCAGGAAGAGTAGGTAATGAAGGTTACCTGGATCTGGATGGTGTCATCATTACCCAGAAAGCCAGTGCTGGAATGACTGCCCTAGACATAAAGACAGATTTCTATGTTGGAGGAGTGTCATCCTTAAATCTTGTCAATTCAATGGCAACAGAGAATGAACCCACTGGTTTCAGCGGGTGCATACGTGAAATTATCATAAACAACAGGGAACTAAAACTCACTGACAGAGATCCTACTGATGGTGCCAATGTAGGTGATTGTGATGGAACTGTTTGTGGATATACGGTGTGCAAAAATAATGGTAAATGTCAAATTCAAAACTCAAGCTTTTCTTGCTCTTGTCCACAATCCTGGACAGGGAACACATGTGAACAGTCTGTTTACTGTTCAAAAAATAGGTGTCTGCACCAGGCTCTTTGTATTCCTGATCCCATTATATTTTCATACAGTTGTGCATGTACACTAGGATGGTCAGGCTCATACTGTGACAATGAAACCTCATTCTCAACTGCAAGATTTGCAGGTAATTCATACATAAAATACATGGATCCTCATTATGAAGAGAGAGACCTCAAACTTACAAGTGTATCTTTAAATTTTACTACCAGTCAGAGTGAAGGCTTAATTTTATGGATGGGAAAAGCTGAAGATGAAGACAATGATTTCCTTGCAATTGGTCTTACTAATGGGACCTTGAAAGTTGTGGTTAATCTTGGAGAAAGAATCTCTGTCCCTTTAATTTATAGTAAACGTTCCCTTTGCTGCAAGAAATGGCATTTTATTACCACAGCTCAAAACCAGACTTCTGTTAAAGTGTTCCTTGATGAGTATCTGATTCTCTTTGATGATATTGACCCACAAAGAAAATACATTGCTTTAAACTATGGAGGCATTTGCTATTTTGGTGGGTTTGAACTTGACAGAAAAATAAGCATAGTCACTTTAGGGCTTTTTAGTCATCCTCTGGTCGGTAAAATTAAAGATGTGGTACTCTTTCAAGATTCTAAAAAGATTCCATTAAGTAAAGCAGAAGGCTACAATGTTTATGATGGAGACAGGGATTAATTGAAAAAAAAATAAGTTTAAAAAAATCCTCACATACAGATGTGCAGGTTTATGTTCCAGTCTCAACTGGCTAGTAGTATTAGATAGAGACTCCTTTTAAGTAACAAGCTTAATGGTATTATGCACGCATGTTAATTGCTTGCTACTATAAACTATCTTTTTATATGGCTGGAAAATAAAAAATGGTCAAATTTACTAATGGGCTACTAATCTCATTTCTAGATAGTTTGAAAACAGAAAACTGATTTTTATAGATTCTGCCTGAAATTGTTTTGTACTCAAACTGATAGTTTACAAGAATGCAAATCTAGCGTTAAAAACATTTGAACCTTATGAGAACAAAAATATTTACTCTTTTACACCTACCACTTTAAATTTTGAAAATTAAAGAACTTGGAAATGTACTTTAATTTCTCTTTTACTATGATGATATAGGTTATGTCTTTAAGATGAAAGTTAACATGCAAAAAGCACCACTGCTTAAAAAAAGGCACTAGAGATTTTTTTCAACATTTCCTAAGTAGACTTACATAAAAAGCACATTTTCTTTTTAAAAGACAGCAGCCAAATTTTAAAAAGCTCATCATCCAAATTACTCATTTAAGCACTGAGGGCTTATCTATATAGGAAATTCACACAGAAGTTAGTGTTAAATAACTACAGCATGAATTTAAAGTGCAATAGCTCTTCTGCGCTGATTCCACTTGTAGAGACACTATTTTGCACGAATGTGTCGTCAAAGCTAGAGGTGCAGTTTTCAGCTGGAAGCCTTTTCTACAAGACACCGGCAAAGCATATTAGAGGGTTGTGATCTGTAGGAGCTCTAACATGTCACACTAACTACCCTTCTGACATTTTCTAAAATATACCTCTTCTACTTCTTGAACCCTTATATTCCGAGTTTGTGTTAAAACAGCCCTGCTTCAAACGGGAATACATTGATATAAATGAGGTACTAGAATGAACCACAAGGGGCAATCAAGAGTGGCATGTTAATGCCCTTTACAAATCATCTTTGGTGAGCTTTTCTGCATTATGTTGACAAAGCCTTAAAGGTATATAATGCAGGGAAAGCTCAGAATAGCTCTAGGAGTGGACACCCTTAATCTGTGTTAGAATGCCTTTGGAAGTGGATTAAATAAAAATGCACACTCATAAGTATGTCCACACTGGAGCTGGAAGAAATAATTTCTCCCTTGATTATACATGATTAGGCTTGTTTCCATCCAGCAAGTGTGCCAAAACAGATGTGTAACTGTGACAGCACAAGTAATATGAGAAGCTAGCCACTTGAGCACGTTACCATCTTGGTTGGCATCATGCTTGGAGTCCATGTATTAGCCTAATGGTGGGCAATAATTTTTGATGGAGGGCTACTCCAAGATTTTGGAATATGGTCAAGGGCCTCGCTATTCTATGATATTAATGGAGGAAGTGCAGAGTCTGGGATGGAGGTTGAGTGCAGAAGGAAGCTTGGGGTAAGGGCTTGGGGGCGCACAAGGGCATGTGGGATCTGGAAGGGGGCAATTGTGACCAGGGGAGGGAATTGGGGTGCAGGAGTTTGGGTTGTGACTTGGGGTAGGCAATTGGGGTGCAGAATCTGGGAGGGGATATGGGTTCAGGAGGAGGCAGAGGGTTTGGCTTATGTGGGGTGGCAGCGGGTTGCAGGGAGGGAGGGAGGCAGAGGCTGTGGTGCCAGAGGCAAGCTCTAACCCAGAGACTTTCCTGGGTGACTCCCAGCCCGCAAGCCAGCACATTTCTCAGGCAGGCTCCTTGCCTGCCCCATCCCTGTGTCTGAACGTGCCCCCATGTGCATCTCTGAATAAGAGCCTGAGGGGAGGAGGAAGTAATTCTTTGCACACTGCCTGTTCTTCAAACAGACAGCTCCCATTGTCCAGAAACTGGCCAATGGGATTGTGCTGGGGAAGGAACAGTGCATGAAGCCTCTCCCCCTCCTCTCCCACAGCTGTGGGACACAAACAGCCTGGCAGCTGCTTTTCTGAGCAGCATGGGGAGCAGGGAATCTGCCTGAGGCTCCCCACTGCGTTCACAGGCCTGATCTGGTGGTATGGGGAGCTGGCTCCAGACTGCTGGCTCTATTTTGCCCAAGCCTGTATTAGCCTAACCTGCCACTTGTCACCATAGCTACCCTTCTCTTTTGAGCATGTTAGCTCCAGAAAAGCTGTGGTTATGTCTGACTGAGCTGGAAATTACTTCTTCAAGCTCCAGTTTCAACATACCTTATGAATATGCCCTTTTAAGGTATGGGTTAATCTACTTCCAAAGAGCACTCAACTATACTTTGTGTGTCCATACAAACAGCTACTCTGGGCTTTTTACTCACTATGTAGACAAGCCCTTGTTGCTATCCTTTTCTTCTCAATGGGAAGTGCTAATGAGTTCTTTTGGAAAATCTGTCCATTTCAAATTAGATGCCTAAAATGAGAGCTGATCTCTTTCAAAAACCCGGCCCTTTATAAGTTAGTTATTAGAATAGCAGAACTTTCTCCATAGATGGGTATTGTCCTGCTAAAATTGTAGATTTTAGGTAATAGATGTTTAAAGCTACAAAGGACACTGATGATTATATAGTCTGACCTCCTGAATAACAGGCCACAGCATTTCTCCCTGTAATTTCTGCATCAAGCCCATAACTTCTAGTTGATCTACATAATACCATTTAGGAAGATCTCTGCTCTTGATATAAAGAGTAGAACTAACGGAAAATGTAGCCCACTGTTTATTTGTTACTATGATTAATTACTCTGTTGTTTAAATTGATGCTTTATTTATAATTTGAATTTATCTAGCTTCAGCTCTCAGCTGGACTAATACAAAAAGAAACATTCTATATTAAAATCAACACACAAAGGCACTAGACTTCAAATGTCGCATTTAGGAAAATTTAAATCTTTTTCACATGTGTAATTTTAAAACTGTATATATTTTAATGCACAGTCAGATTATATCTAATAATTATGGCAAAAGCCTGAAAAACATTTAATCTCATGGTCTCCTCACCCACTTGTTTAGCCCAACATTCTTAAGTACATGGTATTAGTAAAGAAACAGAAAGACAAACAGACATAAAAAACCAGTCCTCAGGAATGGTGATGGAGCACAGGTTGCCCAGTTTTACTGGGAATTCCTGGAAACTATCTGGAAATAGTATACAAAAAACTAACTACATTTACCTGAGTTTTATTTACACATACACAAAACTGTCTACTACTGTCATCCAAAATCCAGTACTTTTCCCATTTTAATATCAAAAACTTTTAGTCTTAGTTTCTCTTTAAAACTGCCTATAAATCCAGCCTTTGTGGAATAACATCACACACACACACACACACACACACACACACCATGCTTTATAGAAAAACACTGCAGTTTTCCTTCAGTGTAGGTAGTGTTTTCCAAGATGTGTAGGAGAGTCAGACACAGATCTACCCACTGAAGTTCAATTCTCATGGCAGTTTAAAATCTCAACCATAGACCTTTTATACTAAGAAAGCAAATTAAATTCATTTTGTAAATGCCTAGTTGTGTATTTTAATGAACAATAAAACAGAAACTTGTATTATATTTCATGCGTTCAGTGGCTGTCAATGCCATTTAAGTTTTTAAATTTCAATTGACTGCTAGTAATTTACTGTATAAATGAAATGTTTACATCAAAAACAATAGCGGTGGATTTCTACCTTCTTCCCTTTTCACTTTTATTACAGCTCAAGTTCTCTTCTCAAAGTAGGAATTAACTCTATGAACAAACCTACAGTCCCTATCTTGTACGTAACCCGGGAACTGCCTGTATGTATGTGTATATATATATATATACATATATATATATATATATACACACACACACACACACACACACACACACACACACACACACACAATGTACTCAACTGAACTGAAGAGAAATTACATGGATTTACATCAACTGAACTGAAGAGAAATTACATGGATTTACATCAACTGAACTGAAGAGAAATTACATGGATTTACATCAACTGAACTGAAGAGAAATTACATGGATTTACATCAACTGAACTGAAGAGAAATTACATGGATTTACATCAACTGAACTGAAGAGAAATTACATGGATTTACATCAACTGAACTGAAGAGAAATTACATGGATTTACATCAACTGAACTGAAGAGAAATTACATGGATTTACATCAACTGAACTGAAGAGAAATTACATGGATTTACATCAACTGAACTGAAGAGAAATTACATGGATTTACATCAACTGAACTGAAGAGAAATTACATGGATTTACATCAACTGAACTGAAGAGAAATTACATGGATTTACATCAACTGAACTGAAGAGAAATTACATGGATTTACATCAACTGAACTGAAGAGAAATTACATGGATTTACATCAACTGAACTGAAGAGAAATTACATGGATTTACATCAACTGAACTGAAGAGAAATTACATGGATTTACATCAACTGAACTGAAGAGAAATTACATGGATTTACATCAACTGAACTGAAGAGAAATTACATGGATTTACATCAACTGAACTGAAGAGAAATTACATGGATTTACATCAACTGAACTGAAGAGAAATTACATGGATTTACATCAACTGAACTGAAGAGAAATTACATGGATTTACATCAACTGAACTGAAGAGAAATTACATGGATTTACATCAACTGAACTGAAGAGAAATTACATGGATTTACATCAACTGAACTGAAGAGAAATTACATGGATTTACATCAACTGAACTGAAGAGAAATTACATGGATTTACATCAACTGAACTGAAGAGAAATTACATGGATAAAACCAGCTAATGAGCAAGAATCGTATAATTTTCATGCCAGATGCCTGCTATGGAGACAATAAAATAATGTAGATCTAGTTGAAGAACCCAATAACCATCTCCAGGCCCAGTTCAGGATACATATAATGCAGCAATGTCTCACCTATTTATCAAAATATTTCTTAAATGTTAAGGGACAATAGTAAATACTTTGGGACAGACATTGGCATGTTCCCCCTTCTTTACTCTGTTTAGGCAATGCGGAGAAAGGAACTACTCATAAGTATTCTGTTGGGGATTGTTCCAGTGTGAAGTAGTCCGCAATGAACACAGAGATTCCTATGCCTCCCTCTCCCCTGTAGACATACAGAAGTAGTGAAAGGAGTACCTGAAGAATATTGCTTTGCAGCTGTCCTTATCCCGGTAGACTGTTGCTGATTAGCAAGTTAAAGAAGCTTACAACAGTAATTAGTACTAAGAAACAGGGAGGTGCAACAAGTATCTTAGGGAGGTGGTCAGCTTCTCTTTTCCCCCTTTCCCAGGCTACCTCTTGGAGGGAGGAGAGCCATCCTTTGTATTTATGTATCTTGCTCTCTTTTCCCCAGGTCTCCCACAAATGAACAGGTAAGCCAAATAATGGAGTAACCAGCTACTTTCCCCTCTCTCCTTCCCCTGAGATGTGATACAACAAGGAAATAGTTTAGCAGCTGCAGTATGGAAGAGACAGCTACTGCTCACACCACTTTTAGCTAGGAATGTTAGCTATCAAGTAACAGAATACTAAAGTAACTGCATGAATTCTTAATGGTTAGTCAACTATTCTATAGTCCCTGGGGTGGTGCAGTGTGGTAGCTAGAGCAATCTGCCCACTCCTGGAGAGCCTCCTGCCATCCATTGCTGCCTCTGTATCAAGTGGGAGTCAGTCCATGAGGGGAGCCAGTTTAAAAACCAGCTCCCTTTGTAGACCAGCTACCTGCCACCCCCTGTTCGGGGGTGAGAGGGGGGTGTTCAAACTCCTCCCACAGACCAAGGCTGCTGCAGGGGAGAAGGGGGGGCTGCCACAAAGCA